GCTTTTACAAATGCAGGAAAGTGGGAAAGAGCAGCAGATGATGCATTGGTTTCAAAGGCAGTGCAGCTGAAATTATGGCAGCTCATATGAAAGAAAATTATCTAATAATTGAGTGCACCAAGTGTCGACAAAACTGTTATTTCACAAAGCACATGGTAGCAGAATGTCATCAACTCAAAAGGACCAGCAATCAGTGCCACATTCATAGTGCAGGTAGCAATTGGGTTCAACGAAATATTATTTGTCACATCAAAGCAATGTTGCTAATTTGAATTGTATTTGTCAGTGTGTAGTGTTATTAAAATGTTTTAGTTTGTGTCACAAGCTATTAGACATTCATAATTTTTTATATTAGTAGACAATGGTACAAAAATAATGTAATGCTTTAGTTCAATCATGATGAGTTCTTCTTTTCCCATTTAAATTAATTTCAACATAAAACTAACCTGTTAGTGGAATCTGTACATGATTTAAATTGGAGAAACACTGACTTATTGTTAACAATAAGTTTGGGAATGGGATATCTTAATTTCCCCTTGCTGTTAGAATAGCTAGCCAAACAGCTAGTGGCCTAAAACAATAATTTATTATTTTGCAGTTCTGGAGGTTAGAAATCCAAAATGAGTTTTGCTCACCCAGGTATCAGAAGGATTGCGTTCCTTCTGGATGATCTATAAAAGCACTAATCTCCTTTCCTTTCCCAGCTTCTAAAGACGTCCACGTTCCTCTGAACTTAGATCATCAAATTTCCTTTTCTTACTGGTCCTCCTACCTCCCTCTTTTACTTAAGAGAACCCTTGTGATTACACTGGAGCCATGCAAACAATCCTGGATAATTCTCATCCACATCTAAAGATCTTTTATTTAGCCCCATCTGCAAAGTCTCATTCATCATGTAAAGTAACATATTCAAAGTTCCTAAATAGGGTGTGAATGTCTTTTGAGTGATATTATTCTGCCAACTAGAGGATGTCACAATGCCCAGCCAGTCCCAAGAGCAGAAACTCTGATGGAAGACTGCTATGGAAAAATGTATAAACACATTCTCTGGAAGCAGAAAGAAAAGGGGAATGGGTGTAGTTTAAGAGGAAGCAACATGGTGAGTGAAGATATGGTTCTTTTTCCAAGGAGGATTTAGGGACACATTGAGGGCTTGAGAAAAATGGGAAAGCTGCTATGAAAGCTAAGAAGCCTCCTAAACCTCTAAGAAAAAGTAGGCTCTTTCCATGAGGGCTTACCTGGGATGCTAAATGCTGCTACCTGAGTAAGACTCAGGATCTGAGGTCACACCAAGCACCACGTATATGCAGGTGGTGTAAAGTACCATGAAGACAGCACTAATCCCAAGAAAAATAGCTCTCTCCATCTTCAGATCAAATTGTATGAATCAACCAAACGCTGACATCGGACTTGAAGTAGTTCTGCTATCTCCTTTTTGTTGTGTTATTGCTTATCTTTTTCCACAATTCCTATAAGAAATCTGATACTAATTAGGCTGGGGGGGTAGGGTAAAGATGTATCATAGAACACACTGGTAATAAATTAAGAAATCAGAAAAGCTGATCTCCACCCCCATACACTAATAATCATGAAAATTTCCTCTAGCAAAAGGGCCATGTAATGAGAGTTTAAACTTTTTTAAAGGACAAAACAAGAGTCTGATAATCCCTTATCTTAAGTAAAATAATCCAGAAGGAGGAAGATAAATACCAGATGGTTTCATTTATATTTGGGGTATAGAGAAACCAAACAAAGGATCAGACAAAGACAATCCTTAAAAACCAATCCTTGAAAGCTGATCATAGATCTGAAGCACACAGGAGGGGAGGGGGAGTTAGAAAGAGAGAGGAGAAAAAAAGTAGGAGTGAGCCCAAAAGACTACAGTAGAGGATTATGGGAGATTTGGTGGTGGGAGAATGTAGGTGGCCACATCTGAGCGGAGGCAGTCTTTATTGTGAAAAAAAAAAGAAGCAAGGGCGCAAAATAATAGCAGTTCAATAAATGTATATGAAAAGGGAAGGGAGGAGGGGGGGACCCGGGGGGAAGAAGGAAGGAAGTGGGAAGAAGAAAGGAAGGAAGGAAGGAAGGAAGGAGGGAGGGAGAGAGGTCTCACAAGATGTAGCTGCTGCTTCTCTTTTCTCTAAGTCACCTGCCAGGAGCCAGCAGAGAAGCTTGAGTGTATTCCTCTCTTGCTATGTCATACGATGTTCCTTCCCCCCCCCCCCCCCCCCCCTCCCCCGCTGCCTGGTGTCTGTGTGTGTCTCTGTGTGTGTAGTTTCTCTCTCCCTGGTAAGAACACAGCCGCCTGCCTGTCTCCTGTTGTCGCTGTGGCTCTGACTAGCTTTTTTTGCTGCCTCTTTCCTCTCCTTTCTTTTTCTGCTTAGCTCCTTGCCTTCTGGTAAGTATGACAAACACTCCCCCAAGCCCTGTGAGGGGATGTAGGGTGTGGTTTGTGGTGTTCAAAACTTGCAACTTTCAGATTGCCAGTGAACTGTTGAAGAACTTCCCATTGTTTTATTTATAATTAAAATGTGTTGTTCAGGAAGGTGAGTCTGTGTGTGTGTGTGTGTGTGTGTGTGAGATAACCCACTGGGATTGTCAATCCCAGTGAAAAATTCTCTCTTAGAGGAAGAAGAAAATAGGCAATAAAGGTACAATTTAGAAATCTAGAAGGTACAATTTAGAAATAATTTCTTGTAAAATTAACTAATATAGAAAAGGACAAGTTCAAAGTGATAGAGTTTTTGGACTTTGTTTTGTTCTCGTTCAATTACTTTTGGAATTCAGCTGTACTGTGGTTTACAATGACAGTGTTATACTATCTTAAAGTAGATATGGAGCATGAGTTTAAAGGATAGCCATACAATTGACATAAAAAAAACATTAATTACGGCTTCTGATGAATGAAGAAGAAATCAAATACAAACAAAACACTTGCTTTGAACTAACCACAGTAAAAGTCCTCGGGACAGTTTTGTTTATATTCATTACTTTTGATTTCATTTCATCCTAAGAAACCTACCTGACACTTTAAAACCCGCACTGTTTTCAATTTGATTTAAAAGTATTCTCTTCCCTTGATTTTCAAGGCTGAAGCACTAAATGCCATGGCTCCCTTTAGAAGAGCTTAAAATAACTTCTGGCTGGACAGCAGGTGTCATGTATCTTTCTCGGAGTTCAGGGAGGGGCGTCAGATATATATAGATGAGTGTGCCCAACAAGTAGAGGTCAGGATAAAGAAATTCCAGCCATGAAGACAAAAGAGCTGTTTACTACTTTACTTGATAATAAAGTTAGTGAATTAAAATGGGTAAGAGGAAAAGGGCTTCCTTCCAAGTTAACAAGTGCTCCCACTTGGTGGGGAGCAAGAGTGGGTGGCAAGGTCTACGTGCTACATTTTCCATTCTCATTGGCATTCTAGCATTTGGTTCTGCCTGCCCCGAGAACAAGAGGAGGAAGCTGTGGAGTGCATGGAGGGGTATATTTTTGTTTTCGCTTTCACGTCTCCACAACAGCAAACTCTGTGTGTTATGAGTAACCTGCCATTTTTTATGATACACAACAGCAGCAGCCCCAGTGAAGCCCATTTACAAAGAAAATACACCATAACTTAAAGGCATCAGCCAAATCTATTGCCACCCTAGAAATGGCCATAGCCAGAAACCCTGGAGTCTTGACAAAACTTATTCCTCATCCCCTACTTCCCAGAATCCATAATCCATATTGTATCTGAATTTTTTCTTAGTTCCTTCCCTCCCTGGTGATGACATATTGCTTTTTCTTAAAAGTGATTGTTATGATTAAGTTGTCCTAGAGTTTCTTAACTAAGAAAACTGTAATCTGTTTCTAAGAAGGTAAGTTTTTATACTGCAGCTAAAATGTATTACAGAAATTCAAGGAATTATCACTAAGAGCGTGACGATGCTTCATGTACTACTTTCTGCTTCATTTATTCTCTGTCTCGTTTCAAAAATGATGGTAATGTGAACCTCAGGGAAAAAGTTTTGCTGATTAGTAATTATGTGTTACTCATCTAGGAAAAGGGAAATACCAGAAAAGCAAAAAAGTATCTCCTCTACCCAGTATAACAATTCATTTGCATCAGTGTATTTATATTAATTAAATCTTGATCTAGAGAATAAAATAGTTTAGGAATGTCTGGCCATGAATAGTTTTAGTAAATACAATGGTTCTTGTATTAAGTGTTTTCTTGCATAAAAGTTTTGGGGGGGGACTAACATTTCTAAACTGAAACATATTGTGTATATATACTTCCAGTGAGTATAAATCTACTCAGAATTCTGTAGAAGAGTAGTAACAACAGCCCCTCCCTGGTGGCGCAATAGGTTAGGAGTAGCACTGCAAGCTGGCCGCAACTGCTTCAGTGTGCTTGATCCCCCGCCCTGGAGCTGACCCACATGGCACGGCAGACCTCTCCTGACCCACCTGCTGCTCCCCTCAGCAGTGTACTTCATCAGTCTACCTGTTCTGCTCCCCACTCTGTCTCTGGTGAATCCTCTCACTGCCCCTGCACCTCTGGCTTGTACCCCAGTTCTGTATGTATGAATAAATAAATATATCTTTTTTAAAAAAATAATAATAATAACAACAATGGACTATTCTATGCAAAATGACTAGCATGATTTTGTCAAACATTTTGAATAACTGTTAATGTCAATGATAGTAGATATTAGCCTGATTTAGAGACCAAACTCAAATGTACATAAACAATATAACAGTATAACAAACAATATAACAGCATTTTTTGATTTGAAAAAAAAAATAGCTCTCTACCATTCCTACTTACCTAATTGCAGTATCAGTGATTTGTGAAAGTATATTCATTCTGGTAGAGACTGTAAAAACTCCACAGTCCTTGGGAATATCCCTCCCTATCATTTACAGCATTTGAGTTAACAACAAAAACCTGATTGTGTTTACCACTAGATTCTGTTCCCAGCATGGAGACCAATCACCCTGTACCACTCTCAGGGAAACCACAGTCAACACCTCCTCCACAGGACAGTTCCTCATTACCGGGTCTAAGTGGTCTGGAAAAGCAGGATGATCGGGGTTCCTCACCCCCTGGGCAGCCACCAGAGAAGGAGGCAGGAGTGCAGCCTGACCAGGGAGCTCCGGACATCTCCGAAGAGCTGAATCGGCAACTAGAGGACATCATCAGCACATACGGGCCGGCTGCCAGCTTGGGGGGCTCTGCCCAGGCCAAGGAGCAGCCTGAGAACCCAAATCCACCGGACAATGAGGACGGGGACTGTGAGGAGGTCACTGAAGAGCCTGAGAGAGAACCCATGGCTGCTGGCGAGTCCACCACAGCCAAGGAGGCTGCCAGCAGTAAAGAGCAAAAATTGGAGAAAAAAATCCTAAAAGGATTAGGCAAGTAGCTATGTTCCAGTACATGATGTTTCCTAGCACTAAAGAGGAGTGTCCGCCTTTGCTGGCGTCTCACATCTGGATTACAACAGCTTCCTATCAGTTTTGCCTGCATTTTCTTTTGTTGTGCTTGTCCTAGCTGCTGCCCTCAGTGCTAGTGAACGTATTCATGTGTTGTCCACTCATTCTGTCCTCAATGCTTCCATTGCTCTTAGCATGAAAACTAAAATTCTTAGTACTTTTTCAGATGCTAATGGTCTAACCACCCCAGTTTCTCCTGCATTATCTCCTGTCACTGTACCCCCCAATTTCCCCTTCCTGAGTGAACAGTCTCCCCCATCATCACCACAACTGCTGCCTAAGGGTTACTCATTTCTGATGTCCTCTCTCTAAGCACCCCTCCCAACCCCATTGCAGCCCTAGGGCACTTAACTCACAACTCAAGTATTATGTTCTTAACCCAACCTTTGATGAAGTCTTCTCTGGTACCATGTATCTGTCCTTGCTGGCATTTACCATCATTTGAGAGATAAATTTATATCTGTGATTATTTGATGATGCATGTCACTCCCACTAGCTTTTTTGTCAAACGGACTGTCTCGGTATTTAACCATTGTTAGAAACAAAGTGATAGAACAACAGATGCCACACACTAAGTTCTCAATAAGTATCTTTTATAAGGATGAATCAGTGAATGAAAGAGAAATTGTACAAAGCAGAGATAGTGGACTCTGTATCAAAAAAATTAATATAGGAATGGTTTCATATGTTCAGATTCTCATACAGGTTAAGAATTGGTAGGTCTAGAATGGCCAAGCACTCTGGGTAATTTTGACACAGATTATGGAAGCCATGGTTGATGCTTGAACTCTCTGATGCCTCATGGCTTGGAATCCGCATACATGCAGGTCTGACTCCAAGGCATTCCATTTTTTGTTTGTTTGTTTTGCATAAGGAATAAATAAAAACTATACTGAGTGTTAACCTTCTATACAAATAACAAAATACTAGAGCAGGAAGAGACTTCAGTGAGTGTGATGATTAAAAATAAAACTGATTACAAAAAACAGGAAGAGAAGGTACTCGATGAGGAGAGAAAAAGTGACCCCTTCGGCCCACTCAAGCATTTCTAGCTCCCCGACATGAGACATGCAGTGGTTTTGCATGTGGGTGCGCTGCCTAAGAGGCGCCTGGATATGCTGAGTGTCACAGGTGCGAGTCAGACCAGTCTTTCCTCCAGTGGATTGCAAGATTGTCTGCAGGACAGCGTTCATTCGCTTTTCCTGATACTAGCTCGCATTTGGTCTAGTTTTACTCCCTTTATTGACCGTTCTTAAGCATCCATCAAGCCCAAACCTGTTGTTTCCTAAACCAAATCTGATCAAGACACTTGATGTCCAGCCCAGTTGTTGAGGTAGTAAAACAAAGTGCCTGCCCGGGGGGTGTGGGCATCAGTGATTATCGGATTAGAGACAGCAGTTAGAACAGATGGCAACTGGAGGGAAACACACACATCCACCTTCTCCCCTAGCTGAGAAGAAGCATCTAATCTGAATTGACTCAAGGGGCAAAGGAGAACAAAACCAGCTGTTAGTCTTTTATTTCTTGAGGTTTCCCTGGCACCAAAATTCCACATGGGAACAGAGTGATTTAGAAAAAGTAGACAATCTTGGATCAAGCTGTGGCTCTGCCAGTGCAAATTATGTACCTTCAGTCTTCTCTGGGCCTTAGATGCTTCATCTATAAAATTAACCATTTGGATGCCCTTTGAAGTTCCTTCTAAACAGAATTCTGTGATGCCATTAGAATTATCATATTTAGCATATAACAATTCGGGGTGGCCAGGGAAATTCAAATTTCAGTTAAACAATGCACGACTTTTTAGTACGAATGTGTCTTAATTGCATGATATAGCTGCCTCTCCAAGACAAGAGAAATGCCTGCTTTTGTGCAAGTTAATATTCCTAATTAGATTTTTATTGGGGAAAAAGATGTACTGTGTGGCTTGCCCTTCCTACTTGATTAGGTAGAGTGAGAAGTCCACATAGGTAAGGACTGGAAAACTGTTCCATCTTGGTCAGACCATGTGAAGAGGAACAGTCAGTAGTACATGCAGGCCTCAGGACTCTGCTTGTCCCACTGAGCACTCAGCCCAATGGCTACTTAGACACTGGGCTGCCTGAGTTGAAAGAGACAAAAAATACCACGGGGAAAGAAAAAATCTGACCCTCACCTTTAAATAACCATGAGCAGATGAGTTTTAAATGTAACAGCAAATGTGACTAGAAAGTGAAAGTGCCCACAGGGCCTAAGTCCTGAGTGGGAGGAGGGCAGACCAGGAAGGCTGACCTGCCCCAGGGACAGCCTGTGGAACAGCCCTCCTTGCTTAGTGTGTTTTCTTGCTCTATTGAGGATTTAGTTCTGTACTTTGAGTAGGAAATATGATGGCAATTATTGCCACCCATATCTTATGGAATGGACTCATGCACACAAAATGACAGAATTGGTTTCCAAATCAAGGCCAGAGGTACCGGGAAAATAATAACAAACCCCTCCCCCCAGTGGGCAGACTAAACTCTTCAGTTTCTTTGCTTTAGATTGAGATTCCAGCATCTGTGTATCAATATTGACTGTCTCGCTGCAGTCAGAAATTGTGATCAATTTTTGCCTCTTTATTGATTAACATGAGAAAAGAGATGGTTATTCCTTCAGTGTTTTTGATTCTTTTGAGCATTTCTAAAATATTCAAATGTTTTTGGAATACTGAAAACTATTTAGAAGAGTACTAAAAATGGACTCTTGACCTGAAAACTTGAGGATTACTCTTAGTGGCTATTTTCTGAGACTCTTTTGTGGGCTCATCCTCACTTTGTCAGATAGGGTCATCCATTCTTACGGAAAGTAAATTATATCTGAGGTTCATGTGAGTTAAGTGGTTTGACCAAGGTTGGATAATAACTAGCAAGTAGACAATCTGAGTTTCCAGTCTATAACATCTATTATCAAGTTCAACACTTATTTTTTTTTTTTTAAAGATTTATTTGTGCACACAGAACTGGGGTACAGGCCAGAGACTCAGGGGCGGCGAGAGGCTTCACCAGAGACAGAGCGGGGAGCAGAACAGGCAGATCGACGAACTACACTGCTGAGGGGAGCAGCGGGCGGGTCAGGAGAGGTCCGCCGCGCCATGTGGTCACCTCCGGGGCAGGCGGGATCGAACTCATGCGGAAGCGGCCCTAGCTTCTCAGTGCTGTGCTTTAACCTGCTGCGCCACCAGGGAGGGCCTCAACACTTATTTTTAAAATATCTTTATGATCTTTGTTTTTCTTTAAGGCAAAGAAGCCAACCTGCTAATGCAAAATTTGAGCAAGTTGCAGACACCTGAAGAAAAGCTTGATTTTTTATTCAAGAAGTATGCTGAACTGGTAAGATATTTGATTAGCTCTCTTTTTCCACAGAGCTTCAAACTGTGATAGAGGCTGTTCGTTTTTCTAATACATCATTCCAGAACATGCCTAGTACCTCAGACAGGCCAAAACTGGAATTCCTAACAGTAGAATTTTCAAAAGGAAATAGAAAAGCTGAGGAAGGAAAAGCAAAAGGAAGATAGAGTTGCAGTCTATTCCATCTTCACAATTTGGAGAGTGGGAGAGAGACTATAGATAATTGACAGTTATGGATATTTTCTAGTTCCTTCTGGTGATGAGATAACACAGAAATAAGCTTGATAAGAAGCAAGCTCTCTTTTAGTTCCAGTTCCGGGTTTGTCAGAGGTGCTCCCTGGAGAAGGCGAAGGTTAAGTTCTCCCCCTGTCAGTTCACCACACACTCTCATGATGTTGACTGAGTATTGATTTATTCATTCTCTTTGATCCACATTCTTCTTCCTACCACTTGGTTGCAGTGTGCCTGGCATGGTTTGCTTTTGTGCTCAGTGCTGGGGCCTCCCCACGCAGTCCCCCCAGTAAACTAGAGTTTCTAAGCAGAAGGGAAGCCATTCCCAGACAGCGGAGAAGCCATGATTGGAACTGGCTCCTCGCAGGCAGTCCTGGCATTGGTTAGCATTAGTTCTGCAGGGGACAGAGAGAACGCGGGGAGGCAGCATCCCTGGTCCAGGCGCCTCACAGCACTGGCTCCAAGAGCCACCTCTGCTTTTGGGCAAGTGGCTGGGGCCGCCATCCTCTCCAGTGAAGCTTGTCACTGCTTTTTCATTTCTGCTTTTTTTCTTTAAACATTTGTATTTGCTTATTTCCTTTGAAGACACAGTGACAGGAAAATGTAACTTAAGTCCACAAATACACACACGGGAGACAGGCTGAACTGCTCCCAAAGACTTACCTTACAGCTGAGAACATTCAAGAGCCATGGCCTCTCACTCCCTGTGGCACCTCCGAGGCCCTGGACTTCATCCTCTTCATTGTTTCCTTGAAGAGACCCTTGAACACAGAATATGCTGCAAGTTCCTGGTGCATTTCCTTCTTGATGGAGTAGAGCTTAACGAGTGACCTGCTTTCTTGCTTTTCTGTCCTAAGTTCTTTGACCACCATTTTTCTTTCCTTTTATTTCGAGGCGCCTTGTAGTACTGCATTGTCCCTGCACACAACACTTATACAATTCAGTGTCTTTTTTTTTTTTTTTTTGTTTTATTTTTCTTTTGGGGGGGGGGGCTCATGTACAAGATATTTGCTAATATAATTTTTAGTCTTCATAATTTTGTAATAGTTATGTCATATTCCATTAAATGGCCTTATCAACTAATTCTCTAATTTGGAAACATTTCCATCCCTTCCAATACCTATTTTACCAAATACTATTGCATTGAACATCATCATGCATTAGATTTGTTCCTTATCCTTTTTATGATCTTAGGGAAAGTTCCAAAATGGGATTACTAAATCAATGAATGCTTTTTTTAAATGCCTATAGGAACAGTACAATTTTAAAGCAAAATTTAATGTACCCTTTTTCCAACAACTCATTCAAAATAGTTAGGTGTCAAAAATAATTACCCCCCCCAAATTCAGCCCCTATTCTCAGCTGCCCATCCTTGCTATTTTCATTATTTTCCCTTTGCTCTCAATTTACCTACTCACATGAAGGTCATTCATGTTTGGATTCTAGTGCATGTTCTATACTTGGTGGGGCTGGGGAGGATTCAGACCAGCCCAGGAAGCTGTTTGCAGACAGTGTTCCTGCCTCCTGCTCCCAACTCACAGCAAGACCCCAGGAAAAATCACTTCTCCACTTTGCCTGTTATTTTCTTCATGAGTCAGAACTGCTCCCCCTACTCTCAAGAAACTTACTGCTCACTTTCCTCATCAACCAACACCCCACAGAGGTTATTTTTATCTAGATCCCACTCAATTCAAGCCTTTATTACTATATTTTGCCATCTGTGTCATGTCTGAGAGTAAACTTGAAATCCCAAAAGATTGTTCTAAAAAAATTAATAGGAGAAAACTGACATACAAACATTCCCCCGCCCAACCTATTACCTTTCCTTTTTGGAAAGGGAGAATCATGAAGAATTTTAACCTTTCACTTGGAGGCCAAAACCCATTTCTGTGCTCACTGATTTGGATATTAGTGTACAAGTTACCTGAAATATTACTGTTAACATAAAATAAATCATCAAATTCAACTCTGTGAATCTAACTGCCACTCTAGCTTACTTATCTTTAAAGATTCTGAATTCTGCAATATTATCTGCTAGTGTATTCATTAATAAACAAAGTTAAGATCATTAATAAGTAAGGTTACTTCATGACTAAAATAAAAAATGATCTGGGAAGAAATATTTTGCAATTTTGCTCAATTTTAATGTACTTAGAACATTACCACAACTGTACTATTTGGTGTTTGGCATTAATTTTACTTTTTTAACTTAACAGTAAAAGAGAGAGTGAAAACTAGAGAAATTACAGATAAAAATCCTATATGCCTGTTAGAATTGTACAGAAGAACAGTGTCTGGGTACATTATTAAACTGCAACGCCAACATTTGGCTACAGTTGACTCAGAGGCAATATGTTTGCTTACATTCATTAGGAAACCCCATATGCATTCACAGAAGTCTGAAGTATTTGAACAAAATTAGCCACACTCTGAAAAAAAATTGTCAGAGAGTTAAGCATTTTTATTTCGAGCCAACCAAGACAGACCTAGCTAAATTTTAAATGTGTATAGTCTTGCAGTAAAACTAAAACATTAACTGGTCATTGAGCAAACACAAATCATGTCTTCCAGTTAATGAAATCCATGTAGGGAAAATCCTTCCAGACACTGAGATAAATCCATCTAGTACAGAGTCTCCCAAACAGGGCAGTGTGGTCACGATGGGACTATAGCTAATGTCTCTCTGGAGATATTTCAGGTACCAAAATTAAGGGGTACTACTAGGGCAGAGACCAGAGATGTTGCCAGACAGCCTAGGATGCATAGGACAAACCTTCCAGAAAGATTCGCCTGTCCCAACTTGTCAGTAGTACTAAAGTTGAGGTACCTGCCATATGCTTTAATATGCTTCAGAAAGTATTCTAAATCATAATAGCAGTAATAACAATACAAGTTCCAAGAAAAGACAATAGGTCATTTAAAGTTTAAACATGAACATGAGAAGTTTCGCCTCTAGTTATGAAATGGTTCAAGATGACAGGACCCAATCTGTCCTGTAGATAAGAGGTTAGAGTGAAAAACCTAAAGTAAAATACAATTTTCCATTTCAAATGATTTATTTATAGTACTATGGGCCCAGATTTCCCTGAGGCTAATTCTTATCAATAAGTAAAAATCATTCATAAGTATGAAGATAACATATCAAATGTGAATATCCCTAGTTTAATCTGGCAAAGGTTTAGAATGATCATTTCAATGTGTCAGGAGGGAAGTGGAAAGGAGTAAAATAAGATGCAAACTAAAAGGAGTGACAGACCTGTCCATATAATTCAGAGAAATAAAACTTTTTTTTTAAGACAGGGAAACTGGCACACGTCAGGCTTCCATGGTGTTTAAGTGTCCACTTGCATCAGGCTCTGTGAACAACAGAAGCCGGAGGAGCTCCCCGCCAATGTGGTCATTACTAGAACAAGGACCTAGCTGGCTATGAAGTTCCTTCAGGTGCTGAGCCCAGCAGATGACGCGCCTCTGGCCTGTGGCCTCGTTGCCTGTTAGTCTGAGACCCGCACTTCTAGAAGGGCCTAGTTCCTGTGGCTTCAGGTCAACCTGAGAGGCTGATCCCCAAACTCCCCCTACCTGGACTCGAGTTCCATAAATATGTCACCAAATTTAACAAATAAAAGGACAGACTACCCAGTCATTCTTGAGTTTTAGGTAAATAAATACATTCTCCTAAAAGTATATCCTAGGTAACATTTTGGATATACTTTTACTACAAAATTACTTGAAATTCAAATTTAACTACATTTTATCTGTCCTTCCCCTTGCCCCACCGACCCCCGACCTTGAGCACTCTCAGCACCTCAGCACCTTGGCTACGGCCATTTCCAAAACTTCAGTGTCGATTCATGCAGGCTTATGTAGTTAAGAGGGACTTGCTCTTCTCCCCCTTCTTTGCAACCCACTGATTTCATCTTCTGTCACCAGGAGGCTGCTTTTCTTTTCCCTGTTTTTTTTTTTTTTAAGATTTATTTATTTATTCACACAGAATTGGGGTACAGGCCTGAGATGCGGAGGGTGAGAGGATTCACCAGGGACAGAGTGAGGAGCAGAACAGGCAGATGGATGAAGTATACTGCTGAGGGGAGCAGCGGGCCGGTCAGGAGAGGTCTCCCTAGCCATGTGGATCTCCTCCGGGGCAGGCGGGGATAGAACTCATGCGGAAGTGGCTTAAGCTTCTTAGTGCAGTGCTTTAACCCACTGTGACACCAGGGAGGGCCTCTTTTCCCTGTTTTTAAAAATAGTTGCTATCAGCATATTTTGAGAAATAAAAATGTAAGAAATAAATGTTGATGGATGAATAAACACAAAATCTAGCAGATTACAGATACTGAGACCAGCATCAGTAGATAGACTGGAGAAGACTAAATCTCTTTCTAATACCTCTGCCCCCAAGAAGATCAGAAAAAGAAAAGATCAAGACTAATAATAAGGAAAAATCTATGAATGCTATGCTCTAAAAGCTGTATCGACAAGCACTGCCAATGCAACTTTGTGGAGTTTACTTAATTCCAGAGAAACCAGATAATACAAAAAAAAAAAAAAAAAAAGTTTCCAAACAACCAAAGAATGAATGATCTTTATGACTTTCTTTTTGGCTTCTATTCTAACTCAAAAGACTTTCTCCCACTTTTTTTTTTTCACATTTGCACCCCCACATCTAGCTGGATGAACATCGCACTGAGCAAAAGAAGCTAAAACTCCTTCAGAAGAGACAGGTACAAATCCAGAAAGAAAAAGACCAGCTACAAAGTGAACACAGCAGGGCTGTGCTGGCTCGCAGCAAGCTGGAGAGTCTGTGCCGGGAGCTGCAAAGGCACAACAAGACCCTGAAGGTAAGAGCAGGAGGTGGCGAATCACACGGGCTGGCAGCGCTGGGCCCAGGCTTCTGCGACTCCAGGAAAGATTGTGTTTGGGCAGAGAAAGGGGTTCACGTGCTAGCCTGCCCTGTGCTTGCTTGCTTGTGACTTCCTGTAATTACTGTACCTGGCTGGTCTGTGTCCTCATCTGTAAAATGGGGATTATACCAACTTCATTGTGTGGTTGGGGGGAAATTAAATGGGAGGTGGCTGACACCAAGCAGATCCTTAGCAAAACTGGGGTCCTTCTGAGTTAGCTTTTGCTATCTTGTAAGGTAGGCTTTCCTTCTAATCTTCAAAATGCCAATTGAAAAAAAAAATCAGTCCTTGTTTGCATTATAGTGAAATGTGCATAACATCACATAAATTGCCACAAAACGCATTAACACAATAAAGTTAAGCGCAAAAATGTCAATAGTCATCAAAGAAAAAAGCTACTTGAAAAAGCACTGTTCTTCCGACTTAATTATTCAATCTAAAATAATGGACTGATCTCTTCATTCATTCTGCATTGACTTCATTAATCACAACATAAGCCTTTTACCCTGTGGATAATGTGCTTTCTCAGACACTAGCAAGACACAGGACTCGCTAACATAATATTGCGTGAGTCCCTTCTAGCTGAAGGTCCTGATGCTTTTGACAATAATAAATTAGGCACCAGTGGATTTGTGAGATTGTGATTCTTACACATCTCTTTCCACCTACTTATTTTCAATTGGGCCTTTGCATAGAAAGTGTACTTGTTATAGACAATATACAGTCAGGTCTTGATACTTTCCATTTTTACAATATCTGCCTTATAATTAGAGTATGGGTCTATTATAAATAATGTAACTATTGATGTAGTCAGATATGTGTGTATCATTTTGTCATTTATTTCTAATTCTCACTTGTTTATGTTCATATGTTCTTTTTAGAATATCTGAACTTTTAATTCTGTTTTATTTTTGTTTTTAAAGATTTATTTGTTTATTATTTATGATTACAAGAGCTGGGGTGCAGACCAGAAATTCAGGGGAACAGTGAGAGGGTTCACCAGAGACAATGTGGGGAGCAAAACAGGCAAATCTACTGAAAATACACCACTGAGGGGAGCAGCAGGCAAAATAGGAGCGGTCTGCTGGGCCATGTGGGTCAGCTCCCTGGCAGGGGATTGAACTCATACTGCAGTGGCTGCGGATAGCTTCATTGTGCTAAGGCTAAATCCCTTGCACCACCAGGGAGGCCCTGTTTTTTCTCTTGAGTTTTTAATTATAATTTTGCATTTTTAGTGGTTGCTCTGGCTTATAATATGCATTTCTTAACTTTTCATAGTCTATCTGGTGTTAGTACTATACCACTGTACATAATATGTGAAACAAAGTAGGTCCAATTACTCCCCTCTAATTTAAAATTGTAATTGTTATATGTACTAATTTATAAACTTATAAAACCCATGAGACAATATTATGATTTTTACCTGAAACAATCACATTTATTCTTTTAAAATTAAATGTAAAACTATATATTTTTTTATTTAACCTTTTGGTCCTCCTGGGCCTTCAAGTTTCATTCACTTCAACCTGAAAAACTTCCTTTAACAATTTTACAGTACAGGTCCGCTGGAAATCAGCTTTTACTTATTTTCTCATGTTTAAAATGTCTTTATTTAGCTTTTATCGTTGAAGGCTATACTCAGTGGATATAGAACTATGGGTTGATAGGGATTTTTTCATTCTTTCTCTCTGTCTTCTATAGATTCTGGATTCTGGCCTCGATAATTACTGGTGAAAAATCAACAATAATTTGAGTTGTTTTCTCTGTGTATGAGATATGTCATTTAATTCTGGGTCCTTTAAAATTTTTCTACTGATCATTGTTTTTCATAGTTTTCTCTGTAATTAACCTATTTGGGATTTGCTGTGTTTCATGTACCTGTAATTTTTGTCTTTCAGCAAATTGGGAAAGTGTCAGTCACTATTTCTTCAAATACCTTTTCTGCGCCATTCTTTCTGCCTTTCCTTCTAACATTCTGACTTATGAGTGTTAGACCCTTTGATATCAGCCCCCATGTAGCTGAGTGGCCTCTTCATTGCTCCTTTTTCTCTTTGCATTAGCTTGGTTTATCTTCACATTCACTAACTTTCTTGTCATGCCCATTCTATTCCAAGGGATTATTAAATGTTGAGTTTATAACATTTAACACCAGCGCTTCCATTTGATTCTTTTAAATTATTCAAACATCAAACTACATTAACAAAGAACTGTTCAGAAGGAGATAAACAAGTGTCTCAGGAAATATGATTTTAGGAAAGGTTTAAAATCACAGGATTTTAATGTGCAAAAGACTATATAAATCGTCTTAGCCAAACTCCTCATGTCTATATACAAATGAATAATAACACTTTAATTCTTTAAATAAAGTTTCACTGAATACCTGTAGGTTATATGCCAGACACAGCACCATTTCCAAGATGCACAGACACTTGTAAAGTTTATTTCTTGATTATGTTAACTGCTGTCCCTCAATCTTATTTGAGTTGTTAGTTTTTGCTTTGAAATAATGGATTCAATAAAGAAAGATTTTATTTCTAACACTGTTCAAATGATTGTAAATTCATTACCAAAGGACTCAAATTTTATAAAATTTTCATAGATTTAGTTTTGTCTCATTGCAAAACAAGGTAATATAAAATGCTAAAATGCCATTTTGGGACCAGGATTGGGTGCTGTGATTGACTGACATTTGTCTAAGGCTATCCTAACACATACTTCTTTCTGTAGTCAGAAGCCAGTTAAAAAGAAATTAAGACTTGCTGAGAAGTATGAGATGGTTCTTTCATTTACTATTCATTCATGGATGGAATAGTTATAAAGACAAATGGTATTCAGATGATGGGTTTTGGTTCTTTGAGACTTTGTTGACGTCTGAGCCAATCAGAAACAAAAAGATAATCACTATTAGATGAATTTCATTTGCTTGTAACAAACAGCAATAGTCACTTTTAGTGAAGTACAAATAGGAAGTGTTGGCAAAGTTTAGGGAAATAATATCTAAATGATTCTGAACACTTCTTCAGATTATGAAGTATAGACATTTTTGACCATATCTCTAAGAAGTTGTTATTCAAAATTTTTATTTATACCATGAATAAATTATGATTTTAGGGCTCTCCCTGGTGACATAATGGGTTAGGATGCAGCACTGCAAGCTAGTCCCAGCTGCTCAATGCCAGTTCGATCCCAGGCCCTGGAGGTGACCCACATGGTGTGGCAAACCTCTCCTGCCTCGCCCGCTACCCCCCTCAGCAGTGTACTTCATTGATTGCCTATTCTGCTTTCCACTCTTTCTCTGGTGAAACCTCTCACCACCCCTGCACCTCTGGCCTGTACCCCAGGTCTGTATGCATAAATATATAAATCTTTTTAAAAAATTATGATTCTGATGTCAAGATTTAGGTAACAGGAAATATGCTAATATGATAGAGGATTCCAAATGATAAATTATTTCCAGAGAGTATATTTTCAGCTTCAGTTTTTATTTTGATCACATTTTTCTGCTATCATAACAAAGACCTGCACAATTACTTCTTTTTAAATCACTGTTTCTTTTATAAAATCCTGTGACAAATTTGATCATGGTAGACAACCAAAGGCAGTATAATTTTACTTGCCAACAATGAAGCAAGCTTTCATAATAACAATTAATGAGAAATGAAAGGATTCTGAAAATGTCTATATCACTTGTCAGCAGTGTTTCTATCTTTGGTATGATGTAGCAAGATTAAATCCTTTTATTCTAAAAGAATGAGAGGAATAATCACAAAGCAAACAAGTTTCTATATAAATACTGAGAAAATTTGGGCACATTGTTAGAAGTTAGCAATGAAGGGACAGTTCTGATTTAGTAGCATAGAGAACAGAGATGATATAAAGTTAATTTCCAATTCTTGAATGTTAACAAAGCAAAAGGGGAAATTAGATGTTTAGTTTTCCAGTTAAAAGGGATTGGAAGCTTAATATGCTTTCAGATTTAAAACTTACATTGAACATTTCAATTACCCTATGTGGCCCATGGGATGATTGTTCTTTCAGAAATAAAATATCCAACATATTTTCAAATATTTCCTTTCATATCCTGAATTGCTGAAATTGATCTAGAACTACCTTACTTACTTTTTGAAGCTTTTTAATGAGTTGTTCTGTGATCACTTATATTTATAAAACTGGTTATGCAATTATATAGTTAACATGCCACACTTTTAATAGAGAAATATAAGGTATAGTGTTCTTCTTTCTGTACCAAATCAAGGGAACACATGCTCTGTCTGATCATCATGGGACTGCATTTTTTGTTAGAGGTCACTACAGTATATCCATTCAGCAGGAGATCCGTCCTCCTTAAAACAAGCCTATTCGTGGATGACTCACAAATTCAAGGCCCTCATTGCACCTGCTCTGAGTGACCATGTATTTACAGCTGAAACCTTTGCTCATACATTTATTTGGGGCTGAGCAACTTTAGTGCTAGAGGACTGAGAAAAAAAAAAATCCTACTTACCCTGAACACTCATCTGCTTTCATTGACCACCCTAAGTTCTCAAAACCCAGGTGCATAATACCAGCTTATCAAAATATTTTGCTTTTAATGACAGGAGGAAACCCTTCAGCGGGCACGGGAGGAAGAAGAGAAAAGGAAGGAGATCACCAGTCATTTCCAGAGCACCCTGACAGAGATCCAGGCCCAGATTGAGCAGCAGAGTGAGCGCAACATGAAGCTGTGTCAGGAGAACACAGACCTCGCAGAGAAACTGAAGAGCATCATCGATCAGTACGAGCTCAGGGAGGAGGTGAGAACCACATCAAACAACACAGAAGCCAGTGTGTAGCTCCGGGTCTGGACTGCGAAGGGGGGAAACTTAGTTAATAGGAAGGTATGACCAGCCCTCTCCATTGATTAATATTTAGTTTGGAATTCTTTTAACTTGCCAAAATAGAAACAGGTGGGTTTGCAATAGACCTGGTTGAAAGCCCCATGGGGTTTCTTCAAAACTAGAATTGCTACAAAGCAAAGACAGCACACAGAAAGTTGCGGGCCCCAAGCAGTTATCCCTGAAAATATCTGTCTTTATAGCCAGAAAATACTTCCCACACTTCCTCTTAAGAATCACCCTGTCACCTAAATTAGGGTCTCTATTTTATGAGTCCTACAAGCCAATGTTAATACCAAGTAATAATCTTTTTTTTTTAATTTTTTTAAGATTTATTTTATTTGTGCATACTGGGGTACAGGCCAGAGGCTCAGGGCGGTGAGAGGCTTCACCAGAGACGGAGTGGGAGCAGAACAGGCAGATCACAAAGTACACTGATGAGGGGAGCAGCGGTCAAGTCAGGAGAGGTCTGCCACGCCATGTGGGTCACCTCCAGGGCAGGAGGGAATCGAACTCATGCAGAAGTGGCTTTAGCTTCTTAGTGCTGCGCTTTAACCCCCTGCACCACCAGGAGAGGTCTGCCACGCCATGTGGGTCACCTCCAGGGCAGGAGGGAATCGAACTCATGCAGAAGTGGCTTTAGCTTCTTAGTGCTGTGCTTTAACCCCCTGCACCACCAGGGAGGGCCCCAAGTGATAATCTTATAGAGATAATATTAATGATTTATTCAATGCTTCATTTGTAAAATGTGCTAAGTACTATATTTTGCATACACTATGTCATTTAATTGTCTCAGCGATCTTACACTTTGGATAATAATATAATCCATGCTATGTAGACTGAAATAGGGGAATTGAGATAAAATCATTTACCCACAATTATAAAAGTTAGTGGAGTTTTGCCTCCAATTGTTTAAATGCATTGAACTAGAAAGGCCTTTGATTTTTCCAAAATAATATTCTTATATTTAATGTTTTTAAGACTCCCAGATGCCCTCTTAGTATCTTGTTGTATCAAATTCCCTTCTTGCTGAAATTTTAAATGTCTGCCTTAAAATGTAACCAAACATAGTCAAAGTAGCTTTGTTGATAAGATTTGCTCAGGAAAAAAGCTGTGCCAGTCTTACATGCTTGTAGCTGTTAGGTAACTTGAGAAATGCCTCACATAAGCCAGAATGCCAGGCTACCATAGTATCTTGTCACAAGAACAGTCCTGCTCCAACGGGGG